CAGTGAGTAGGAACCCACTTGTTAGTCAATCAGCGAATCTCTTTTCCGGGGGTAATAATCCCTCCACAAAAAAGATAAAAATTTGGTCACTCAATCCACAACTGTTTGTGGCACGCTGCTGTGCACAATTGGCTGGTGGGTTCGCCCACAAAGTACACAGTCACTTTACAGTATATTCTGCAAAGCACTTTGAGACGTCTCAAAGGTGCGTACTAAGATGCTATATCAAATGCAAGCATTATTATTATGTGTTCATTAACGGGTACTCATGAGGATGTGTGTTTTAACGTCAGCTTCTTTGTCGAACATCAGGAGCTGGATGAGCGCAAATTTCCTGCAGTTAAACATCATCAAGACGGAAGCCATACTCTTTGGTTCCCGCCAACATCTTCTGTCCCACGGTCCCGACCTCCTCAACCTACCCGACCTGTCCTTAAAACTCTCTGAACCTGTGCGCAACTTAGGCGTCAGGTTCGATCCCCAGTTATCCTTCCTCCCCCAAATCCGATCCTTGACCAGCACCGCTTTCTTCCACCTCCGCCACATTGCCTGTCTCTGACAATACCTCACCCCAAAAGCTGCTGAAACCCTTGTCCATGCCTTTGTCACCTCTCGGCTGGACTACTCTAATACCCTCCTCGCCAGTTTCCCCACCTCAAAATCCAGCTCATTCAAAACTCTGCTGCCCGCATTCTCACCCGCACCAAACTCCGCACTCTAATTACTCCAATCCTTGCCAAACTCCACGTCACAGAGCGGATCGACTTCAAGGTCCTCACGCTAGTGTTTAAATCCCTCCATTCCTTGGCACCCCCCAAGCTCTCTAACCTCTCTCCCCACAGGAGTACCCGCTGCTTCCGACAAATCTGGCTGGACCTCCTCAAAATTTACCGCTCCACTCTAGCCTCGGCCAAGTCGTCCTTCTACTCCAGGATAATCCTGGAGGCGAAGAACAACCCCAGGCTACTGTTTTCCACCACAACCCGACTCCTCCGTCCCCCCCGTCATCCCGCGCAGGTCACCTCCTCCAACCTTCACTGCGAGGAGATGCTGGATTTCCTTGAATCCAAAATGAAGGGAATTCGCTCCGCGGTCACTTCCCCTCCAACATCCACCAACCCCCACCCCTCACTCCCACACTCCGACTGCTACCCATCCTCCCCTACTCACTTTTGTACCCGTTTCCCCACCCCCTGTCACAAACTCATCCTATCCCTAAAACCAACCACCTGCTCCCTTGACCCCATCCCCACTCCACTCCTTATCTCCCAGCTCCACTTTCTTGCCCCACATATCACCGACATCATCAACCTGTCCCTCTCCTCTGGCTCTGTCCCCATTCCCTTAAAAACTGCCACCATCACGCCCACCCTGAAAAAACCCTCCCTTGATGCGTCGCAGCTATCAAGCTACCGGCCCATCTCCAACCTCCCCTTTCTCTCCAAGGTCCTGGAAAGAGTTGTCGCCTCCCAACTGCGCTCTTTCCTTTCCACCCATTCACTTTTCGAACCCCTTCAGTCAGGTTTCCGTGCTGCCCATAGCACAGAAACTGCCCTGGTCAAGGTCACCAATGATATCCTGACCATCTGTGACCAGGGCTCCCTCTGCCTCCTCGTCCTCCTCGACCTATCGGCAGCATTCGATACGGTCGACCACGCTATCCTACTCCACCGCTTGTCCTCCCACCTCAACCTTCAAGGCACTGTCCTTGAGTGGTTTAGGTCGTACCTTTCTCACCGTCTTCACTTTGTCTCGACGAATGGCTTCTCCTCCACCCCCCGTACTGTCTCATGTGGTGTCCCTCAGGGCTCTGTCCTCGGTCCCCTCCTCTTCACCCTCTATATGCTCCCCCTGTGGTGACATCATCCGCAGACATGGAGTTAACTTCCACATGTATGCGGATGACACCCAACTCTACCTTTCCTCCTCTACTCTCAACTCCACGACCGATGTCCTGACAGCTGCCTGTCCGACATCGAGTCCTGGACGAGAGACAACTTTCTTCAGCTCAACGTGCGAAAAACCGAGGCCCTCCTGATTGGCTCACGTCAGCGCCTCCGCACCTCAGGCGCCGACACCATCAGCATCCAAGGCTGCACTCTCCACCTCTCAAAGCCAGTCAGGAACCTCGGCGTTTTGTTCGACCCTGAGCTGTCCTTTCTCCCTCACATCCGCACCACAACTGGCACCGCCTTCCATCACCTCCGGAACATCGCCAGACTACGGCATTACCTCACCCCTCACGCTGCTGAAACCCTGGTTCACGCCTTTGTCACCTCAAGGCTGGACTATGGGAACTCTCTCCTCGCCGGCCTTCCCGCCACCTCCCTCCACAAGCTGCAGGTCATTCAGAACTCTGCAGCTCGTGTACTGTCCCGCACCAGGCTTCGGGACCACATCACTCCCACCCTCGCTCGCCTCCACTGGCTCCCCATCCCCCAGAGGATTGATTTCAAGATCCTCATCCTCACCTACAAGGCCATTCACGGCCTTGCTCCCTCCTACCTCTCCAACCTACTATCCCCCTACCTACCTGCCCGTACCCTCCGTTCCTCCGGCTCCGGTCTGCTCCACGTCCCCCGCCCCAATCGCCCTACCATCGGTGGTCGGGCCTTCAGCCTCTCAGCCCCGAGGCTCTGGAACTCTATCCCCCAGTGCCTTCGCCTTGCTTCCTCCCTCTCCTCCTTCAAGGCCGGTCTCAAAACCTTTCTCTTTGACCGAGCCTTCAGCTCCCCTCTCGACTCTCTTCCCCCTCCTCGCTCCCTCCCTTCCCTCCCCTCACCCTGACCATTTCCCCCTCCTCGCTCCCTCCCTTCCCTCCCCTCACCCTGACCATTTCCCCCCTGCTCGGGTCATGACCCAACTGTGCAGCGCCTTGGGACGTCCTCCTGACGTGAAAGACGCTTTATAAATGGAATCTTGTTGTTGTTGCTTCTGCTCTACTGGCTCCGGCCTACTCCGTATCTCCCGAATCCTCCGCTCCACCATCGGCGGCCGTGCCTTCAGCCACTAACGCCCCGAAACTTTGGAACTCCCTCCCTCAACCTCTTTGCCTCGCCCCCTCCTTCCCCATCTTCAGGTCGAGCCTGAAGACCTTACATTTCGACTGCGCCTACGGTCACCTTCCCCCTCCCACTGGCTCGGCCTTGGGCTACACCATTGCTAAGTGCTCTGAGACACTGCCCGGCGTGGATGGCACTATATAAGTGCAAGTTGTTGGTGTGTGTGTATGGAGGAATCCAGAGTTTATCTAATGCTGTTATTGAGGAATATAAAACAAAAGCACAGACACTTTCTGGATTGAGAGAAACAAAGTAGTTTATTGTGTTTGAATTACTGGTGCTGTTATGCTCTAAATGACTGAATCAATCAGGGCTTTCCAGCACAGTACTGCTCAAAACTATTGCTTTTACCATTTGTCATCACACAGCAACATGTAAACAAGATTGCCATATCCCTTCTGGTCAGGATCAGTGCCAGACTCCCCTGTCAATTCAGTAAGTATATAGCTTGTGATGTGTGGCAAACACACAGGAAAGGTCCCAGATTTAATCCCTGATCTTCTCTGGCCAGGTCACTGGGAGAAACTGCCTTCTTTTTCCTCAAAGGTTTATCCCAATTCCTCTTCAACTTTTGTTATGGACTTTGCTTCAAAAAACATTTGTGATCATCCAATCTATTCATACATTTGAGTAACTGTTGTGTAAAAATATTACTTCTAAATTCAATGAGGAGGAATAAAGAACTGATTAACCTGTACCGATTAAACATGCTCCTTTGTAGTAGCACACTGTCAACAACAACAATTTGCAGTAATGTAGTGCTGGTCATGTAGTCTCGGAGGGCTTTACAGTAGCAGTGAAGGACACCGAGCAGAGGGGATGGGGGAAGAGAGGTGCTCATAGGCGTGACAAATTCATAGGGTTTAAGGTAGGACTTGAAGACAGATATAGATTGAGCGCGAGAAAGGGAGTTCCAGAGGGAGTTCCATAGGTTAGGAGTGTAGAATCAGAAAGCTTGCTTACCAATAGTTGCAGAGGTAGGGCGGGTAGGAGGAGGTCGGAGAAATAGGGAGGTGCTAGGAAGTGAAAGAATTTATTGGCATCCATCTTAACCTCAAATGAATGGATTGCGTTTCCACTGCCTTATTTACCAGCGAAATAAATTGATCCCTGCCACAGCACTCATACGCAGATTAGTGCTAACGCAAATGCAAGGATTTTTTTATTTTTCCATGCTCAAAGGAGCAATGGGGATGATGCTGGTTTCTGGGTTTGAAAACTTTTCCAACCCAAAGAGAGATGAATTGCACTCATTGCCAAACAGATAGTCACTGGGTGAAAAATACTGCAGATGCGGGAAATCTGAAACAAAAACAGAAGTCGCTGGGAACACTCAGCAGGTCAGGCAGCATCTATAGAGAAAGGAAAGTGGTCAACGTTTTGGGTCGATGACCTGTTGAGCGTTCCCAGCGACTTCTGCTTTTGTTTCAGATAGTCCCTGGGGTCTAACATGCAATATTTCTTAATACAAAATACATTATATAATTATCCAATGTGCTGAAGAATGCCTTAGAAATGTGCTAAATAAACATATCCTATTAGGAAATGCTGAAAATTAGACCCTACTGTATGTTTTATTGTTGCTTGGAATATCCAACGTGGCCCATTTAAAGCCCAGAGTGGCATCATGACAATATCAATGCGTTACTATACCGAGCTATAGGTTCAGCACTGTGAACAATCAACATTAGGAAAGGACTTAATAATTGAGCTGTTTCATAACTGAGCTATTCAATATCTTATCTAGAAATGTATTATGCTCTTACTACCATAGATAGAGTCCATGCCTTGTAACTTGTACCCACTCCAGGTATTGGATATGTTGGATGATATCAACAGATTTGTTATCCACAGATCTTTGATCCAGAGGACTCTGCTGACTGAATGAAGATTTATCTTTTTGTTTGTCTAATCTCTCTTGCACCTTGACTCTTCCAGAGGCTGTCTGGGAAGATGATCAGTCCATTGTTGCGAATGTTTGGCCAATCAATCTCAGGAGGAGTGGACATGGATGGAAATGCTTATCCAGGTATGTGAGACGGAAGCCAAGTGTTTGATTCTGTGGCATCTCTTGCTGATTGTCTTCAAAATTTGGACTTGAAGGGAGAGCTGTTAATTTGCAGAAATTGGCTTATTTTTACCTTTAACTCCATAATAATAATAATAATCCTTGCATTTGATGTAGCGCTTTTCATGTCGGGAGGACGTCCCAAAGCGCTTCACAGAATATACTGTAAAGTGAATTGACTATATATTTGTGGGCGAACGCGGCAGCCAATTGCGCACAGCAATGTCCCACAAACAGTCGTAGATTGAAAATGACCAATTTATTATTGTTTTTGGTTTTGGAGGGATTATTATTAGGCTCTGTGTGGAGTAAGGAAACTTGCCCAAGGTTTCGCCCTGACCTGCCTGGAATTGAACTCAGGTCTCTCGCTTGCAAAGCGAGTGCTCTAACCACTGAGCTACAGGACTCCACATGTTGGGTTGTAGACTGAAACATCTATGTAGTTGCTTTCTATTAGAGAGTAGGCTTTGCTGTTTATACTCTCCAGCTTGTGTTAAAGTTTGTTTGAAGTACAGGTGGATATTTAGTCCTACACAAGCACAACGAAAGAGGACTGTGCAAGTCTATGAGGATTTCTACTAGAGCAACAAAACTGTAATAACTGCCGTACACACAGAAGTTGCTGGGAACATGCAGCAGGTCAGGCAACATCGATGGAGAGCGGAAAATGATTTAATGTTTCAGGTCTATGGCCTTTCGTCAGAACTGACAAAAGGTCAGAGAGGAGTCCTGATGAAACATGAACTAATTTTCCTCTCTCCATGGATGCTGCCTGACCTGCTGCGTGTTCCCAGGGACTTCTGTGTTTATGGCAGATTTCCAGTATGTGCAGTACTTTGCCTTTCGTAATACCTGCCAACTAATTTCTTCACATCCAACTCCAGGGTTCATTCTGGAGTTCAGGTTGTTCTCACCAGTTAACAGGATGAATGGCCTACTCCTGTTCCTAAATTTCTATTCTTTTGCACAGATTTTTTTGCACAGAAATCTCTGCAACCTCTGTTTTTGGGAGCATTCTCACTATATTTTGAAGTAACATGCTCATACTTTAGAAGTCTGAGAGGTCTGATGAAGCAAGGTATCTGCTGCAATTGACTGGGAAGTGCAGAGAGGATTAGTGAGATTGTATTGAGTTATAAAATGGACGAAAAGAGATTTCCAATTGTACCAGATGTTCCAGCTTCATCATTGGCACAAGAAATGACTGACATTTAATTTAAGCTTCTCTACATCGGAGGCACAACTCCAGGGAATGGCACTGACTGTCTTTTTAAGATTGATACATTATTTCACGTATAGTTTCAGCAACCCCTGAATCTCTGTATAAGCTAGAGATACAACATCCATCCCTGTTATAAAGCAGTAGTTGTGGGTCCTTAAAATGGATTAATTGATATAATGGATTATGTGTGTTATAGTGTGGCTACCCTCACTCACCTCTGGGGTTGCCACAATCCCCACTCTTATGTACCGGGTGCAGAAAAAGTCTGTCTAGTGTTAGTCAGTGTTACCATGTTATAACTGAGCCAGTGTTGTACTGCTATAACAGCATCTGCCTATACTTTGGTCAGCACTGAAGTTTCTAATGATGGCCAGTAGGGCTGAGCTATTCCTTAGCTTCCCACTCTTCTACCAGCCATCCTTACCAAATGTTTGCCTCTGATAAATCACTAGGTATCAACTCCGCCCAGTTAGTAACACTGAGCTCTGGGTCATCAAAAGCACTGTTTTCACTATTCTCACTTGGTTGTTCTAAGCTCAGTTGATAACACTCATCTCTGGGTCATTATAAGCACTATACTCATTGTATATTCTCACAGATATTTATTTCTGAACTGAAATCGGGATAAACACCTCTGCGCAATCCTGTGCCAGTCAAGTTTATGGTGCCATTTCTGCTATGCTAACTCATGGCACTATCGTGCCACAGACAAAAGTAGCTGATGCTCAATCTGTTAAGATCTACAGAAATAAATTATGTGTGTATATATATATATATATATATATATGGTTGGGACAAAGATTTAGCACTAATGTGTGAAGTAAGTACCCAGATTAAACACTCCATCAACACAAAACTGTCGTTTCTGTGCTGTTGGGATCATTGAAGTGTCATTTGTGGAAAACAGCTGGGTTGGATTGAATACTGCAGGTCATAAGGTTAGAAGGTTCACTTTGAGGATCAGAGCGAGAAGATACAGAACCTTCCGTTGGGGGATAAAAAATAAATGAATTAGGGACCACTGTAGGGCCAACAGTGTGAGATATGTGGAGAAAATGGGATTTGATGCAATGATGGTCTTTTCTCATTCCATGCTTTATTTTCTTGCTTAATTCCAGTTAACGCTACAGACTAACACTATGATGTTAGGTTACAAACATCTGGTTATTTAACTTGTGCATCACAAGCAAATTAAAAATCGAATGTCAAACATATATAGAATAAAGTGTAACAAAGAAAGGCTCTAAAACTAACATGGTACTGAATGAAGTAATGACACTGTTCATTAAATGAACACTGTGAACCATGTGACTTAATTTACAGACACTGGAGTCAGTTAGAAAGGATAACTTTTGCATGCACAAGGGAGAAACCAACAGAAGGGAGTGTGTGGGTGGGGGGTGTGGAGTACAAACACTGGCACAAACTAGTTGGGACAAATGATCAGGTTCCGTTCCATAGCATCCTATATAACCTTATGTGATAGGCACATTAGATAGAATATTTTCTTGAATACAGTGATTTGTTTCCTTATAAATAATCCATTACAAACACATTTATCGCTGAATCCGTGTCTAAGTCCTCTTCCTGCTGGTGTTGGAGTTTGTGACCAGTTTATACAACTGGATGCGATTCCTCATCCCTTCCAGCAGTACAATGGTTAGAAGAAGGAAGCCTGTTTTCCATTTCCTGCTTGAATAATCGCGTTTACCAGGTGCTGTAGCAAGCTACACTAAGTGATGGCTGACCCAGAATATTTTTAAAGTGAGAAAGAAGACAGACAGGTAATATACGTTTTAAAATGATAAATGGTCCTTTAATTCTTAAGTACTAATTTTGAGTGGCGGTCGAATCAATAATAATAATAATCCTTGCATTTGGTATGGTGCCTTTCACCCCGGGAGGATGTCCCAAAGTGCTTCACAGGGTCTACTGTGTATTTATGGGTGAAAACCCACAATGTGCACTGCCTGGACTAATACTGTAATGGTGGTGGGGCCTGGATTTATACTATAATGGTGCTAATTAATATCCTTGTGCCTCCTCTAGCTGTTTTTGGTAAAAAACACATGAATCTCTTTATCATCTCAAATAATAAGGCCAATTTATTCACCTTGTAATAGCAATTGGGCACGTTTTTGTACTGATGAATGCTCATTATTGGACATGCTTCATTAGCTGCTCAGACACAGATGAAGCTCCTACCATCGTGTGTCAGCCTGGCTGAGTTGGTAACATTTTTGCGTCTGTCTTAGGAGATTGTGGGTTTAAGCCTCACGTCGGGACTTAGAACCCTTACAGTCTATGCTGACACTCCAATGCTTTGCTAAGGGTGTACCGCATTGTTGGAGGTGCTGTTCTGCAGATAAGATGTTAAAAAAACAAAGTCTCCTCTACCTGTTCAGGTGGACATTAAAGATCTCATGGCACTATTTGAAAAGAGAATGGAGTTTCTCCTTGTGTCCTGACTAACAATACCCAGATAAAATTGGTCATTCACTCCATGGCTGTTTTGGGTCATTGCTGTGTTCCAAATTGGCTGCCACATTCACCTACAAATATAGAGTCACTACACTGTACAGTAATTCCAATGAAGCCCTTTAAATCATCTTGATATAATAGGGCACTATTTCAGATGCAAGGATTATTATAACAGTGAATATCTTGTTAATCCTCCTTTAATAAAAAAGGATATAAAAGATATTTAATAAAAAAGCAACAATTTCTAATTAGATTCCTTCCATGAAATTTCTTACTGTTATGAGGAAACAAAATATTTTGGGAAATTCAACCTAATCCTTGCATTTACCTAATGCGATCTACCTCTGGAGCAGAATTCTTACAAGTATTTGTAACATACATCTGATTGCTGTAAAGAATCCGCACTCAGTTTTCTTACTGAGAAATCCTGCTGGAAATTTCCATACATTAGGCTCCATTATAAACCCGGTACTTTACTGGTAAAACACCAGTTTGAGCATTTGGCCCATGTCTTATACAATGTTTCGGATTATTAAAATGTACTTTACAGTAGCTCTGGTGAAGAACGCAGGTGCTGAGGCAAAGAAAAACAATACAGATGACCATAACTGAGCAGTGCTCGCCTTTTACAGTCTGCTTGTTAGACTCTGCCTGCTGTTACACATGCTGTGCACTTTGAGATCTTTTTCTGCACTGTGTGTATTCTGTATCATGGCTAAACATTGCAGCAGAGGATTTCACATTTGATCAACTTGTCTCCTTTTCCCTCAGATCTTACTATTGGTGCCTTTATGTCGGACAACGTGGTTCTATTGAGGTGAGAATTTCTTGCTTATTCTATTTAAATCCATTGTTGCACACTTCACCTTGCTAAGCCAGTCTGGAACTTTGGGGTCTTGTTTGACCTTCAGCTTTCTTTCTACCCCACATCTGCGCCATGACCCGCTCTACCTTCCCCCACCTCCGCAACGTCGCCCGGCTCCATCACTGTCTCACACCACAGGCCGCAGAAACCCTCATACATGTTTTCATTACGTCGAGCCGCGACGATACAAACTTATTGCTTGTCGGCCTCCCCAAATCCTCCCTCCACAGACTGCAGATCATCCAGAACTCTGCAGCCCATGTCCTCTCCTTCACCAGGCTCCGCAACCCTATCACCCTCATTTTCGCCCAACTCCACTGGCTTCCCGTCACACAGAGGATACAGTTCAATATCCTGGTCCTCACCTTCAAAGCCCTCCATGGTCTTGCACCCCCCTACCTCTGTGACCTCCTAACCCCCTATCATCCTGATCGCTCCCTCCGCTCAGCGGGCTCCGGCCTGCTTCACGTCCCCCGCCTCGCTCACCCCACCATTGGCGGGTGGGCCTTTCGCCACACTGCCCCCACCCTCTGGAACTCCATCCCGCAGTCCCTCTGCCTTGCCCCCTCCCTTGCCACTTTCAGGACCTGTCTGAAGACCCTCCTCTTGGACCGTGCTTTTGATCTCCCTGCTTCCCCTCCTGCCCTCAACCCTCCCCCACCCCAAACCCCAGCTCAGGTCCGTAACTGTTCGTCCAGCACCTTGGGACGTCCTCCAGACGTGAATGAGGCTTTATAAATGTAACTTTGTTATTGTTGTTGTTAAAATAAATCCTTTAAATGATGTGGTACATTTATATACATGGCCACAGTCAAACTCCCTGTCAGATTAGATTTTTGCAAATTTGTGTTTTTAAACTAATTCATTATATTCACTCCTTTTGAATAACTCTAAGGCATATCAGTGCAGCGTGAAACAATGGCTTGTCACACAATCCAGATCAATCCAGCACTTATTTTCATTCCCATTGCACAATGCAGACAGATTGTGACATGCATAAGAAACAATGAGTTTAAAAAGTGAATAGGTATGACCATTTGATTAGAAGCTTCCACACAAAACGTTGTTGGATTTCAATTGTGAAGATATCATGGTAAATCTAGTTGTCATTTCCATGTACTATGCATTTAGTGATTTAACAGCACAGTCAAAACACATCCAGACATCTATGATAAGGAGGTAAGGTCAGGTATTCAAATATGGATAACTGATGTGTTCGTTGATCTCCTTTGATTACTAAACACTTAACTGTACTTTCTGGTACAGGCACTCGTACTCGCTGGTACAGGCAATAGTACTCACTGGTAGAGACACTCACACATTCTGGTACAGACACTCACACACACTGGTACAGGCAGTGGATTCACCGTGCTGCTCCCAACCTCCCATTCTCCCGCAGTGGTGATCAGCTGGACCCCTGATCAGCTGGTCACTTGCCGTTTGATTAAAAACTAACCCAGGAAGCTGGACCATATGAAGTTCTTTCAGAGAAGAGTTCCAGTGAGCCTTATGTGCAGCTCTGCACGACTGTAATGGGAAATCCTCATGGAGGTCAAGATGCCACAGGCATTGTGTGTAATGCTCACTAGAATTGTTATCCTCTTTATATGGTTAATTCCCTGGTTGTGGTGCCAAGATCATGGTTGACATCTTGGGGCATTTTCCTAAGTTAAAACTCCTAAATATAGCCTGACAAACTAATTACTGTTAGCATTGTACTAATGTTGTGCATTTTTGCTTGTCTGAGAGCATGCTATTCCAAGGCCACTCTTGAATTAACTCCTTTGCCGGTCTCCCAGTGGGGAAATGCTTTGCCTCTGCCTTGTGCCAACCATTGCAGCGTGCCTCAGATTGTGAGCACAAGATGCCTTACAGCAATGTTGTTGCAGAAGCAGTGCAGTTATGGCATGATATCTTTTTGACATGTTTTGAGTCAGGTTGTGTGAAAGGCAGCAGAGTCACTGAAATTTGTTCAATTAAATTCCCACATTTGTAAACGTTTTTTCTCCCTCCAATTTCCTCTGGCCTTACAACCTGTAGTCTCTGCACATTAATTGCTTAATATATATAATCAGACAGACAAACTTCTGAACTAGCTGAACCTCATAAAGATTATTTACTTTTCAGTTTATAAAACTGACTTGGATCAAACAAGCATAAAGCCTAGATATCCAAAGCTCCCTGGGTGAACTTTGATAGTCGATATGCATGTAGCCACTCTCAAAGTATCTGTCTGATAAAATCATTATGTATTATTGGCTGAGCAAAACAGTATGATAAACCCACTGAAATTTTTTTTATAATAATAAAGGCCGCTTCAAATAAAGCTGTGCTTCGTGTAAATAAAACCCATAAGCCTGGCCAGTAGTTTCAATAATAAGGGTTGCCAAGAATAATACACCACTTGCCAAGCGCTATTGATACATTGCTAAAATTCCCCAATGTCTGGCCCTCTTATGATAGAGCTGCTTGCTTTGCTCTTGTGAAGCTGTTTTGGAAAGACCCACAGGAATGGCCAGAGCGACCTCAGCGTACTGCACGTGTGTGTGTGTGAGAGAGAGCGAGAGCTCTGTGAATGCAGGATCGTCTGAAAGTGAGAAGTGGCAAAACAGGCAAGAAACACAAACACATGCCTTCGAATTGGTTGTGTGTTTTTGCTGCCATGAAGAAAACTTCAATTAAAAGTGCACATGGTTTCGTAACAGAAAATCTGTTAGTGTTGTTTGATTTTTCAGGTTGATGACTCTTGCTAGACGGTGCATAAATACCACAGACCCACCGAGACTGTTTTTAACATGTTACAACAGAGTCCCGTTCTAATGCAGCAGTTGGCCAATTCCCGATCGCATTGCCCTTTTGAATCTTGACGCAAATGGCAACGTGCCTTTGAAGGATGTCGTTGTGGCTGTGCTGTGGGCACTGTGGTCCACCTCAATCATAGGCCTTTATCCTGCCTCTTGACCGTGACTGACAACCCAGACCGCCAATCAAAGGCATATTGGGAGGAGGCTGAAGGTGGAGCCAAATCAGCAAAATGTGGACTGCGACCACCCCCCACCCCCTTCCGCAACCGTCCATCTTAGCTCTTTCCCTGGATTGTCTTTCTGGGATCCTTGTGTATAACAGAAGGGAATGATGTATAGGCAATATAGATAGTTTGTTGATCCACTATTGATGATCTCTTATCTTTTTTCCCACCTGCCCAGAGCCCGTCCAGTTATCACCGTGGAGATCACCATTCTCCTTCCCGAGTCCCTTAACATCACAGCCCCGCAGTGTCATGATGGTTTCCAGCCAGTCACCTGTCTAAATGTCTCAACGTGTTTCCGTTTTCATGGCAAGGAAGTCCCAGGTGAAATAGGTGAGTCTTGCGGTCAATTGTTTGGTACTTGCCACGGTTTGTGTGGTAAATAATGATCCTTGTATTCAATATAACTCCTTATCATGTCATTGAAATGTCTCAGAGCACTTTACTGTAAAGTGTAGTGACTGTGTATTTTGCAGGCAACTGACATGAGTTTGTCTAGTTGGCAACTTGAATGAATGGCTAACTGTTCGATATCCCTCCCTAAACCCAATTCCATACGTACCAGCATGAAGCCCATCACCTGCTCACTCAACCCCATCTCTACCCCTCTTCTTACCTCCCAGCTTCACCTCCTTGCCCCTTTACTCTCAGACCTTATTAACCTCTCCCTGTGAACTGGCATGGTTCCTGTCCCCCTAAAAACAGACCTTTTCCTGGTCCCATCCCTACTCAATAACTACCACCCCATCTCCAACCTTCCTTTGCTTTCCAAGGTCCTTGAAAGAGCGGTTGCTTCCCAGCTTCACTCCTTCCTCTCCTGCCACTCCCTTTACGAACCCCTCCAATCGGGTTTCGGTCCTGCCCACAGCATGGAAACAACCCTGATCAAGGTGACATGACATTCTGTGCATCTGTGACCAGGGTTTCCTCTGTCTCCTTGTCCTCCTCGACCTCTCTGCTGCCTTTGACACTGTGGACCACCCTAACCTCCTCCACCGCCTTTCCTCTCAACTTAACTTTCAAGGTTCTGTCCTTGAATGGTTCAGATCCTATCACTCACACTGGCTCCACTTTGTCTCCATAAATGGCTTCTCCTCCAGCCCCTGCACTGTCTCATGTGGTGTTCCTCAGGGCTCTGTCCTCGGTCCTCTCCTCTTCAACCGGTACATGCTCCCTCTTGGTGACTCCTCCGCAGACATGGGGTCAACTTTCACATGTACTCAGATGACATCCAACTCTATCTCTCTGCCTTCACACTTGGTCCCAGGACCACTGATGTCCTGGCAGATTGCCTGTCAGACATCAAGTCCTGGATGAGAGCCAACCTTCTACAGTTGAACATCAGCAAGACCGAGGCTCTCTTGATTTGCTTGTGCCAGCGCCTCCACACCTGGCAGTGACACTTACAGTATCAGCATCCAAGGATGCACACTTCACCTCACCAAGCCAGTCAGGAACCTAGGCATCTTGTTCAACCCTCAACTATCCTTTCTCGCCCACGTTTGTGCCATGACCCACTCTGCCGTCCCCCAGCTCCGCAACATTGCCCGACTTTGCCACTGCCCCACCTCTCAGGCTGCCAAAACCCTCGTACATGCCTTCATTACAGCCAGGCTCAACTCCACCAATGCCCTGCTTGTCAGCCTTCTGAACTCTTCCCTCCACAAGCTGCAGATCATCCAGATATCTGCAGCTTATGTCCTCTCCCACATCAGGCTCTGTGACCCCATCGCACCCACCCTCACCCGGCTCCACTGGCTCCCCATCCCTCAGTGGATCAAGTTCAAATTTTTTGTCTTCACCTTCAAAGCCCTCCATTGCCTTGCCCCTCCTACCTTTCCGACCTTATCAACCTCTCCGCTCCCTCCACTCAGCAGTCTCCGGCCTGCTCCATGTGCCCTACCCGGCCCACCCCACCTTCGGCGGTTGGGCCTTCAGCCTTTCTGCCCCCACCCTCTAGAACACCATTCCACATTTCATCTACGTCGTTCCTTCCCTTGCCTCCTTCAAGGCATGCCTCAAGACCCTCCTTTTTGTCTGTGCCTTTGGCCACCCTCCTACCATCTCTGCCCTCCACCCTCCCTGATCGCAACACCTCCCCCACTTGGGTCCTAATCCCTTATTGTCCCTCCTGACGTGAAAGGCGCTTTACAAATGTAATTTAGTATTTTTTGTATTGTATTTCCAACGAGGGCTTCCAAATCTTGCAGAAGCAAATGATGCATTACCAGGAGGATTTGTTTGTAATTACAGATGAACCACAGTTGCCTCGCTAATTGGTACTAATTGAAAGGTTTGAATTAAGAACGTTAAATCTGATCAAATCAGAATTATGAAAAACGTGGAGATCCCTAGCGTGTTTGGGAAATCTGCACAATGTTGTACAATTTTTGATTTAAAGGGAAAGTCACCTGTGATACCCCTTTTTCAAAATAAAATGACTGTAGATTAATGATAGAATCCAGTATCTTTTTAATATGTGTTCATTATTTGGGTCAATTTTGTTATTTGCAAAGTTGAGTCCTGAGTTCATAACTGGGAGAAGTTGTTGCGCACTACAGTGTGCGGTAACTTGAGTTAACATTGGGGCCACTCCTACTTTGACCATTAAAATACAGTGATTATGTGTCTGCAGCTTTATGCGAGGATGGTGTAGTGAAAAGGTCACTATATTTCAGCAGTGAAGAGAAGATAAATTAAGTGGCTAATGTAGGGGAAAACACCAGCACAGACTTGGTGGGAAAATCACCAGCACCAGCACAGACCTGTTTTAACATAGATTAATTGACAGATAAGATCACAATTTTCATGGATCAATATAAATTGGACTTTATAAAATGACTCTTTCCAGTCACTTTCTTCAGTAACTTTGACTGCGCTTATTTTTCGAAAGCAAATATTTCAGAAAGTACATTAAAATGATATGTCCAAACCGGATCTTATAGTTAATTATTGTTCTTTGTGTAATTTTTGATTAATGAAGGAAAAAAGTCCCATTGAATTTCCTATTAACAACACGTAAATTTAGCTGCACAAGTCATATTAACAATCGCGCAACTCGTAATGCCGCTAACACATTTGTCAGTCAAAACTTTCCTGTGCCTGTTACAAATGGAACACTGCACATGCACACCCCAACACTCTCTGCAGCCTCCCTCCCAGGGGCGTAACATCAACGTCATCATACACAGAGCGGGGGAGGGGGAGCTGAGAGAGGAAAGAACATCACCTGATCATGTGGTGAGCGAGGGGGCAGGGAATGCCAGGAGAGCGAAGGGGACCCTGCACTGCATGTGCATTTACCGGCTTTATGCAGCAAATGCAGTGCTTCATGTGAAATAATTTTGGGAACCCAAGTCCCGACCTGTCATGCACACCTACTGGCTGCAAGGCCGAAGAACCGCTTGCGCGGTACAGAACAACAGTGAACAAGTATGGAAGGCAAGGTTTTGACCAGAGTTTAAATTGTATTGAAACTGTTCTGTTTTGAAACCTGTCTGATTGTGCCATTCATTGTTCTGTGGGTTACATATAGTACATGGGTTACACATGGTCCAGAAACCTTGACTTAATATCACCAGCCAGTTCAGTACTTGTGCAATTGTCATGTGTAAGTCATATAAAATCCGACTTATGCATAACTTTACATAAGTCATATATGATATGACTTAATCAAGTTTCACATAGCTCATATTTTGCATAAGTCATATTAAATGTATAGTTCCAACTGATATGGCTTATATGAGGTTTACTGTATTTAAGTTGCAAATTTGGCTTTGATAAATGGTCAATTTGGAGGTTACTTTTGGTGTTGAGACTACTTTTGGTGTTAACTATTCTACCCTACATGTATAATGCCAAGAATATGCGTAGAAATGATATCTCCTGCTGTGAGACACTGTTTCTGCCTCAATATATTAGGCCAGGGCTAGAAACATAGAAACATATGACATTTGTGACCACATTCCTCATTCCACTCCTTTTCCTGTTTGGTAGTATATAAGTTAAATTCTCTCTGTGATTATCAGACCCTGTTTACAAGCTAAACTTTAGATTGTGTTTATAATGGGAAATCTGATTTCAAGTTCACAAAGAAAAATTTGTTACAGTAAATGAATACCCCTCCTTTAACAACCAATAAAATGCAAATAGTACACTTGTTTGAAAACTGGCGCCAATTCAACTGAACTCTGCTTGCAAAAAGTAATCCATCTGGGTATAGCTGCAAGGCTGTTTTTGTTCTGAATGTCTCATTCATCTCGCCAAATGCATGCTCCAAGGGTTGAGGCTAAGATCAACCAAATCGTTTTAATTTGGTTATATAATGCTAAACTTGGACGATTCTAACCGCACTTGCTTTTACAAAGTGTTGGTAAATTGTTACCATCTTATTTAACACGGGTTCCAATTGCTTTCATGGGAGATGCTGCTTCATCAAGTCCATCTCAAAATCATTAGCAAGAGGAAATCACTTGAAACACAAGAGAGAATCTGATGTCAGCAGAAATGTACACTGTCTGCTTCTCATCAGTCTAAAAATAAAGCTGGGTTGTGTCAATACATCACAAGTCTGAGGAACCAGGTGGAGATGGTAATGTCCAAAGAAAGACAGAACAGAGATCTATCGGGACTTGGATAATCAGCCAGACACAGGCAGATCTCTATCAGTGGCCTGGCCACACACCTGCTCTTATCAGCCAATTTGTTTCTGATCTCATTGCAATAAAACTTATAGAATCTCTGAATCAGAAAGGAACGCTTTAGCAGTAATGATTCATTGTCTATGCTTTACTCTACTGCACTGAAAAATTCAGGACAAATAGGTCAACATGAGGGATGAAGTATAAGATTTTTAAAAATTGCATTCATCTCATTGTGTTGCAAAAATGTCTCTGGCACAGAATAGCTGTCGCATTGGCCAACATGACAGCAATCATTACATGTAAAAGGTATTCACCGTGTAAAGCAGGTAGAGCCATGCCAGTATGATGAGACCCTATATTAAATAGAAGTATGATTGAGAAACGTACCAGAACTGGTCTGCTACCTCAATTAGCGAGTACAGTTCTGCGTCCACTGTTAACATCCAGTCTCAGTTTCAGATTCGGTTTTGAGAAGTTTGCTCTTCTGCTTCTTCAAACATAGTTGCTGTCATACTGAAGGGTTGGATTGGTTCACAACCTGTGAATTGTTAAAATTGCTACATGTCTGTTTCCTTCAAGACCCCTGACACTCCGCAGTGGAGTTTGATTGTGCAACAGTCAGTGTAACTGCATTTTCCAACCTTGGGATTTAATGTGAGAGGAGACTGTGTTTCACTTCCTCATGCCAAAGCTACCTCTACGAAAACATTAATTCACAAGAGTTTGCTTGTTAGCAAAGTTTTATGTTCTTCTTTTGGAGCTAGTTATAGCTCACTTTGGAAAAATAATCTCTGCTCTGGTATGTATGAGATCATGGGGTTTCATTTGTGACAGCAACAAAAGAGGTGAACAGTTAGCCTGAGGTCAGTGATTTCTGAAAGATTAAAGTTCGAGGGAAAGAAAATGTGCCTCAGAAACAATGTGAGTGTTTGAGGATCCCCTGCAAATACAAAGTCATTACACATCACCGTAAAAACTTGTGAACTTTTGAGACGTCTTGATGGCTTGATAAGGCGCTATATCAAATGCAAGGATTATTAACTATTGAGCAAATTAAATCTGATAATAATAATAATCCTTGCATTTATATAACTCCTTATCATGTCTTCGAGACGTCTCAAAGCGCTTCACAGATTGTACTGTAAAAAGCTGAATTGACTGTATATTTTGTGGGCGAAACGCGGCAGCCAATTGCGCACAGCAGTGATGATTCTTGTGTGATGCCATTACCCATGTGCGCTGGTGTAATCAAATCAGCATCGATATACTGGACACCTCAAACTGCACCAAGCCCATTAATGCACAAATCCTTCCTTGGCAGAGTTGATTTACAATCTGACGGCAGACACGGTGAAGAAGGAGAGAGGCCTGCAGTCCAGGGTTTACATCTCTGCCAGTGAGCCAGTCAGCCAGGTCACCGAGAAGATCGAGCTTTCATCCAAAAAGGAGAGATGTGAGCGCTACTTCGTCATTGTCAAGGTCAGTCTAGTGCCCACCATGTCCTCTCGCAGTGTGACTGTGGCAGGTATTTTTCTTTGCAAATTAGCTTCCAGAAGCTGCGCTTGTTAAAAGTTGGACCATGATACATAATCATGAGTTTGTGTGTATTTCTGTGTCAGGGCTATCAGGATATCACTATTTGCTTCACATTCACTATAAAGGCCGGGCACGTTCTGTACTTTACTTATGTGCCAGGTGTCTTTTTATTGTGTTAGGGTTTAGATTTTGAGTATCCAACTACTACATCCTTCACATAGGTTATATAGTGTATGAAAGGATCACAATCTCTGGGAAGGTGGCTACTTTGGTGTGTAATGTTAGAGGCTTTGCTGCTTTTGTCGTCTTCACTTTGAAAACAACAAGTTGCACTTATACAGTGCCCTTCACGCAGGATAGAGTCTCGGAGCACTGCACAGTGGTGGGGTTGGACACCAAGCAAAGGAAGAGGGGCAGGTAAACATAGACTTGGTCAAAGAGATGGATCTTAAGTGAGTCCCACAATAACATTGCAGTCTCATTTGGAGCAAATTCCCGAAGCCGGCGCCCAGAATCAAAAGAAATGCCATTCAGAGCACAGGCCGTTGGAATATGAAACAGAATAATCTTGGGGATGAAGGGTTAACTTGCGCTGTTTTTAGTGCTGATCTTGGCACGGCTCTGATGTAGAGTCTATCCTGTAAGATCTACATAGTTTAAAATCCACGAGCAACTGCTCTCCCTGCTAGCAGGAAATTAGAGATTTTCTTCCAGACCCCACGTGTGTTCCCAATTTAACTTCTTCAGGGGCGACGGCGATTTCTGCACTCAATATAACTGCATTTTTTCAATTGATTTATATTTTACCCCCATTCGTCTCTTGCGGTTTCCTCATGCTTGCCACATGGAGCTGCATGGCAGCAACCTTTGTTGATTTTCTCTTCTCAGTGAGAACCCGCCTGCCAGACATAAGCAATGCCCAGAAATAGGCTGAGTCTTGGTGTTGTTCAACAGCCCCTCTCTCCAGCCCTCATCTTTTTCCACTGCTCTGGGTAAATGCCCAGAAATCACTGCAACCCAATACAGCAGCCAAGCCAAGCCAGGAAGTCCTCACTCCAATTGGAACAGTTAAGAGAGGGATTGTACCGGATGGGGTGGGGGCCAGACTTACATTTTACTGCAGTTTTTACTGTCATATCAACATGAATGTAACACTAGAACTCAGGCAGAAAGGCCTGGATGAGTTCTAACTTTCTTCAGCTTAACATCAGCAAGTCTGAGGCTCTCTTGTTTGGCTCCCGTCAGTGCCTTTGGATGGCATTGATCTGCACGGATACTCACTCTGTCTCATGGAGCAGGTCCCGGACCTATTTCCTGTTTGTCCCTCAACTGCCTTTAGCCCTACATCCGAGCTCTCACTCGCTCAGCTTTCCCATTCGCCAACAAAATACACAGTCGATCCACTTTACACTGTATCCTGTGAAGTGCTTTGAGACATCTTGACGATGTGATCAAGCACTATATCAAATGCAAGGATTATTATTATTAACCTCTGCATCATCACCCACCTCTGTTCTACCTTTCTCCCTGGGCTTCTAAGTCCTCATTCACAATCGCTTAACTATTCAAACATCCTGCTCACCTGACTCACCAGCTCTTCCTTACACAAGCTGCAGACCATCCAGAACTCAGCAGCCCTTGTGCTCTCTAGCTCCTGCCTCTGCAAGCCTATCACCTCCATCTTTGCTCAGCTCCACTGGCTTTCTATTGATTTAATTGAATTCAGAATCAAACCCCTCCACAGCCTCACCTCGGCTCACCCTACCTCTGTGATCTCCTGCAACCCTACTGACACAGCGGCTCTTGTCACTCAGTGAACACAAGCCTCTGGTGGAGTCTTGTCACGTATTGATTAATGCACTCGCCTTACAAGCGAGAGGACCTGGGTTTGATTCCTGGACAGGGTGTAACCTTAGGCAAGTTTCCTTACGCCACATGCTTCTGTTTATCTAGCAATAAGTAGGAACCTGGTTGTTAGTCTATTGCCAAATCGCTTTCCAGGAGTAATAATCCCTTCAAAAAAAAGCATTTTTGGTCACTCAATCTACTGCCGTTTGTGGGAGGGACACTGCTGTGTGCAATTGGCTGCTGTGTTTCACCCACAAAATATACAGTCAATTCACTTTACAGTATATTCTGTGAAGTGCTTTGAGACCTCTCAACAACATAATATCGTGCTATATCAAATGCAAGGATTATTATTATGATAAGCCTGCTTCATGTCCCCTGGTCAATCCACCCCATTATTAGTGGGTGAGCTTTCTATCCCACTGTCTAGAACTCCATCCTGGAGTCCCTCTGCCTTGTCCCATCCCCCACATCTTTAAAGCCCATCTTTTCCTACACTAGGCTTTTGAACCTGTCAGCCACATCCACGCCAGACTCCATTGGCTCCCATTCCTCAGGGGACTCAGTTCAAGATCCTTGTGCTCACTTTTAAATACCTTCTTAGTCTTGCTCCACCCTACCTCTGTGACCTTCTAAAATCATACCAACCGCCCGCTCCCCTGCTCGGCAGGCACTGGACTGCTTCACATCCTTAGCCCTGTGTACCATCAGCGATCAGGCTTTCAGCCTATTTGCTCCCATTCTCTGGAACTCCATTCCAGAGTTCCTTCACCTTGCCCCCTCCCTTGCCTCCTTAAAGGTCCATCTCAAGACCTTCCTCTTTGACTGTGCTTTCAATCATCTTTCTCTCTGCCCCCACAACCTTGGTTCCCCATCCCTCTTGAATCCAGCCCCGAACTCGAATGCAAATCCTCGACTGTCCAGTACCTTGGATGTCCTGCCGATGTGAAAGGTGCTGTATAAATGCAATCTGATGTTGTAGTTGTTGTTAAGACCTTTCTTTTCAACCGTGCTTTCCGTCACCTTCCCCTTATTCTCTTTGACCGTACCTTCAGCTCCCCTCTCGACTCTCTACCCCCTCCTCGCTCCCTCCCTTCCCTCCCCTCACCCTGACCATTTCCCCCCTGCTCGGGTCCTGACCCAACTGTCCAGCGCCTTGGGACGTCCTCCCGACGTGAAAGGCGCTCTATAAATGGAATCTTGTTGTTGTTGTTGTTCAGCCCCAGGCACCCCAAGCTCTGGCTCACAGTCAACTGTGTGAAGCACTTTAACTAATCATTTGGATGTGAAAGGTGCTATATAAATGTAAATTGTTGTTATATTACCAGGGATACTAAAACTAGAACAGCCAATAAACAGCACAAAAACACTGATCATATACAATACAACACTATAACACTGATGATAGACGTAACAGCACTTTAAAATGGATTGCGTACAATACAGCACTATAACATTGATCACACACAAAGCATCACTATAATATAGTAATAATACATTTAATTTAGAGTTTGAAATTGTCACAGCTTCAGAAGCATGAAGCTGTCATGAGTGGTTCTCACATGGAGCTGTCGTCTGCCTCACAATGAGCTGAATTCACAATGGAGAGACTTCAGTTGCTGACGTAATGTCTCATGACACACACAATGTGCAGTGTGCAGTTTTTGGGTCGAGGCTAATGAGCCCTCATTATTAGATGCCGTTCGGTCTTGCAGTGAGCAAGTCCACACCTCCAGTTTGAATTCTAATGCCCTCTAAATGGGGTTTGTAACTCTGCAAATTTGAGCTGCTTAGATATCAAAAAAATGCACATCATTAAATTCATCATAAACAAAAATGATTCTGTCTCTCAGAACAGTTTGGAACCCAAGCTTCCTCTGAAATGTTTTTCTCTTATTTCAGTGCATGTTTCTAAATATCCTGAAGCTAGAATTGGCAGCAGTTACTTTAACTGCAATAAACTTTAGTGGGAGGTGGGGAGTGATCTTTGGTAACTGATTTCACTAAAAATGTATGTGTCAGTGAATCTTTTATGTAGTGTCACAGTTTTCCATTCATTGTTAAACCCGACTTCAGTACAATGGTTTGGACTGTAGACTTTTCTGCTCCATTTCTGCACTTGATCATAGAGCTCAGTGTTTTTAGTGCTTCAAAAAATAGGATACCAATTCAACACAAGCAAACTCCAGTGAAACAGAACTGAAAATTGGCTCCAGGGTCAAAATTGACATTGTTGACAAAGATAACCAAATGGATTGAAGCCATTTGGTTATCTTTGTCAACAATGTCAATTTTGACCCTGGAGCCAATTTTCAGTTCTGCTTCACTGGAGTGAAGCGGATAACGTGAAGTGAAGTGAAGTAACGGATCCCGGGGCCGAGCAGGGGGAGGGGGAAGAAGGTGACCAAAGGTGCGGTCAAAAAGAAAGGTCTTTAGCCGAGACAGGAAGGCAGGAAGAGAGGGGCGAGGTGAAGGGAGTGAGGAAGGGAGTTCCAGAGCCTCGGGGCATAGTGGCTGATAGTGGAGCGGAGGATTCAGGGGGACAAAGAGGAGGCCAGACCTGGTGGAGCGAAGGCAACGGGCACTTTTTTGAGGAGAGAGGAGGTCAGAGAGGTAGGGGGGTACAGAGGAGTGGAGGGATTTGAAAACGAGTGAGGATCTTGAAATCGATCCTCTCAGGGACAGGCAGCCAGTGCGTTTGGCAAGGACTGGGGTAATCGGGGAGCGGGGTTTGGTGCGGGTAAGAATGCGGGCGGCAGAATTCTGGATGACCTGGATTTTATGGGTGGCAGTGGAGGGGAGACCGACGAGGAGGGCACTTGAATAGTCCAGCTGAGAGGTGACAAAGGCATGGACCAGGGTTTCGGAGGCTTTTGGGGTGAGATATTGACAGAGATGGGCGATGCGTCGGAGGTGGAAGAAAGTGGTGCTGGTGAAGGACCGGATGTGGGGGAGGAAGGATAATTGGGGGTCGAACCTGATGCCTAGGTTGCGTACGGGTTCGGAGAGTTTTAGGGGCATGTCGGGTAGGTGGAGGAGGTGAGAACCATGCGATTTAAGACATTGATGAGAGCCCAAGAGTATGGCTTCCGTCT